TTATATTATCTTGCATATATTATGTAAAAAAAAAATCTAACTTTCCAATGGATTAATCTATATCCTAATTTCATTTAATGGAAATAAAGTGAAAAGATGTTTTCGTCCTTTTTTTATTGAATAGTTTGATCTTTGACTTTTTAGCGACATATGGATGCTATCTTATTATTCTACTTCAAAAGTGATTTTTTTTATATATTATGAAAAATCTCTTGCCAACAAATGAATTAATCTTAAATACTTCTTTCACCTGATAACACGTGAGAATTGTACTTGTTTCAATTCATATTGATTATACTGAAATCAATCAAGTTACCTATGGTTTCATTTGATTAAAATTTTAATATATTTTCCGTTGTTTTTATTTATTATTTAGTAATTTTTACTTTCTTTTCGTTTTTTGTAAAAAAAAAACACAAATTGTAAATGTTTCAACCAAATGGAGCTTAAAATGCTAACACGTTCATATAACAATAATTCACAACACTTTGGGATTCTTTTTTGCTCTTCTTCTCTCTCTATCTTCTTATAAATGCCAAGCAAGAAGAAAATGGATTCCCTAATTAAATTATACTGCCTTCAAATTGGCCAAGCTTGTAAAATCTTAGGTAAGATTCTTATTTGTGGACAAATATAGAACTGAGTATTGTTGATTTTGTAACAATTAAAAAAAAAACACTCATTAGTAATGATAATAATCTATATCCAATTTTAGCATGAATATTAAAAGCTAATGTATCCCAAAAATCTGTAAAAGCTGAGAAAGAGACAAGGAAAAGGTAGGGGGATAGCCGACGATAAAACTTCTGATTCTATGGAAGAAAATATTTAATAAAATTTTCAACTCAGCAAAGATTTGTCATTGGCAAAGGTGATTGTAATTTATAGTTATATATAGAAAGTATAGTTGAGAATTGTAGCATATATCTTTACCCTACGGGGAAACAAAGAATTCTATTAATAGAAAGAGAAAAATAGATTTTCCTCTTCCTTAGATTACAACACCGATTTTGGACAGCTGATTAATTGGCCTAGGTTATCCCACGTGTCAGAGAAAGTACTTGCTAATAATTGATTTGCTTTGGAGAGTAAAGATCAATAATATGGACTGCCACAGATTGAAAAAGATATGTCAATCAAACGGTCTCCAATCCTTGATCAAAATGTATGGGGTTTTCCGGACATTCTCCTTGATGGTTCGCTGTCATGTATGCTAACTTAAGAAGAATGTCTCGGAAGTCTAATGGTATACATATTGGGTGCAATTGACAATTTGGGAAAGGACTATATCATTTGTATGTCGGCTTTTAGGTAATTGTTTTTATTACCTTTTATCAGATCAAATAAATTAGATTGTTTGGATTAATGTTCATTACTTTTTGGACCCTTCTACTTTTTTTTTTAAATGAAAAATAAAAGAATGTTATGTAAAAATTTCATCGAAATAGTTGAATGTATGAATAAACATATCTATGTATCAAGAGCTAAAATCTGGAAACCAACTACATATCAGGGAAGAGAAATTGCAAAGTGCTTTCTCAGGGAACTTAACTACCAATTAAATAGGGTTAAGATCAAGTTCACGGGAGTTTAACTTGACTTGAAATTTTATAAAAACTCCTGGTTGATTCGAGTCAGTCTTTATCCTTGTTCATATTTATTGAATTCAAAACTATGACTTGTGATGTTTCTTCCAGGAACTCGAAATTCTCGGCAGCCAAACACCACCACGTCAACCCTAAAATTAAATTACTTCAAAGTTTACGAAATTTGATTCCTACCGCAAAGCCAAGGAGACTTTGACAAATATTTCATTCATTTCTTTTACCCCATCAACCAAAAAAGAGATTTTACTAATATATTTTAATAGTGGCCGACCTTATAGTTGTAGCTGAGCCTGATTTGGTATACAGTAAGATTTCTCTGCGCATGACCAGTAAACGTAAGGCCTTAATTGTTCAGTCTACCGCTTTTTACTTTTATATTAATTAAATCTTTCTTTAGTTTTTTTTTTAAAAAAGGAAATCGGAATAAGTAGATTGTCTGTTCATTCGTTCTCAATCTCAAGTCAAAGTAAAATGCGCTGTATGCTGCATATCTCCACAGATGAATTTATTAATTAACCCGTTGATCACAATCGTTATATTTAATTGCAAAAACAATGTTTGACCATTTTTAGCGTAATTTGTAACTGCAATTGCATTATCAAATTAAACCTAATTAGGCCAATAAATTTTGTGATTAAAAATTTTAGTTGAAACAGTATTAAACAGCTCTTTGGTGGCCTAGGGGGTATATATGTCAATTGAAAAAAAATATCAGGTGGGATTTGGGGATGTGTGGGCTATATTCATCATTGGAAATGATTCAGTTGATAGCAGCACACAATGGTAAAGGATCAGTTGTCAGTTCCTGTATGGCGTTTTTGTCATTTCATGACCAAGATCTCTGCTCAGCATGGGCGGTGCCTTCAGCTCAATCTCCTTGTTTGCTTCTTCAACCTTTTTGAGTCAATTTAATATGCGAATGGGAGCTTCCCCTTCTGTCAAAGTTGCTCACACTTTGTACAAAGGTTGCCGTCAATTCATTTTCTTCCATCTTTCAGTCAATCCTTATTTAGCTCTTATTCCTAAAATTATACTATTATTTTATCTTGAATTTGATAAAAATAATTTAAATATAAGGTAAGGTGTTAGTTAAAGTTGTTTTGATGATATTCATGAAATTTTCTGTTAAAAATAGTTAAACGATTAAATTTAAAATCAAGATCAAGTTATTCTCTTTTTTTTTTTTCAATCAAATGGATTCATTTAATAATGTATCAAAAAGTTGATACAAAACTAGGTCTATATCAAAACTAGACATATTGAAAGCAAGTTTACCAACATCCCAATAAAAGATTATTTGAACACCTTAACAAATAAAACAGAATAAAAAAAAGAATTTAACACTAGAATCATACTTAAACCATACCCAGAACATAAAACTAACAGCACCACAGTCAAATTAAAATCACACCCAAATATAGAGCATAAAAAGTCATTAGCATCAACCACCACACCAAATCAATTTCATAATTTTTTTAAAAAATAAATAATGTGTAACCATAGTTATTATTATAAAAAATAATATCCACACATAGAATTTTATCCAATAAAATGGGATGGAAGGAGAAAAATAATTTTTAAATTATAGAATAACATCTTAATCAATGATTATAATTAGTACTTGTTAACAAAGTTCTTAAAAAAAGAAGGTCTTGAATGGGACCCGAGGTTCTCTACATTGAACAAATATTGGTGACACTCTAATCAAATGTACATTCCTTTGTTGTTTTAGAATAATAAATTCCTTTTATTTTTTGGAGGTAAGAATAATTTATTGCTTTTAATCAAGGAATTCGTGTAGATATAACATGCAAAGTCTAAGAAACTAGCTGCTAGAAGTCGCATGCAAATTAAATTCGTAGTTCTTAATCTATAAAGTTAATTCAAACCCTAGGTAGAAAGATGTGGTGGTGGTGGTGGTGGTGAGTGATTAGTTAAATTGAAAAAGCTTTGGTGTATGCCAAAATAAAAAAGGTTGAAATGGCCTCATCAAGGACGAATAAAAGGGTTTGAAACTTTAAATGCTTATTATTTGAAAGTGTGAGCATGACATTAAAAACGAGAAATAAAACTCTTAAAGTTGTGTTAAACCAATAGAAGGATCATGTGGTTGGGGGAATTGGCATGTTATGTAATGAGCAAAAATCATGATTTTAATGATGCCATTTTCTAATATATGAATGATGATGAGAACCCAAATTTCTTTGATGGATGGCAAACACAAAGCATCAAGTCACATTATGACAATACCGTATATACTACTCCAAGATGGCAGGATGCCTAGAAGAAAAACGGCTAAGATAGGAGCGACGGTGGGCCCAGGACTCCTCAACGCCCATGAGTGAGACCCTTAAACGAACAAACAAACCTCTGATTCTTCCCTTGCATACATCCAATGCAAATTCTAGGCCTTCTTCTTTATCGAATTCGGAGTTATTCAACGACTTTTTTACCTCAATTCTCCTTGTAACCCATTGTGCCTTTGACACTTCGACAATCTCCTTATATAAATAACTTTTACCCCATTTTTCTTCAGGCTTCAGACATTTGAGATCAAGTCAAAATTTTAAATTTTAATAATTATTTATATATATAATGTAACATATAGTAAGTTAGCTCTACTATCAACTATCAAGATTTTAAATTTGACTTTAACCCCCAAATTAAGATTACCATCAGTTGCATGCCAATTGAATTTCAGCAGCTTGATCAGAGTGGCCAGTACCATTTGTTTGCTAATCTTTTTCTTTTTCCTGTTGCATTAAAAAATTTTACTTGAATTCTAAACCATCATGTGAATCACTTTTTTTTTTATATTTGAACTTTCTTTTTTCATTTCATGTCACGTTTAGAATTATAAACATAATTGAATTCTCAGCAAACCAAACGTTATACAGCTCGAGCTTCAATGTTTTTTCATTTTACTTAGACTCAAGTTTCAAGCAAAGATTGAATAAGGTAAGCTTGAGCTTAAATGATAAAGTTGCAAAACTTAAGCTCAAGTTAAAGCTTAATTAATGAAAATATCAATTGCTAGAGAGATAAAAATAAGGTAACTCCATTTTCTCAACTTTTCTCTCTCTCTCTCTTTTTGTTTTTTTTTGATGCAGTCAAATTTCACTTCACAAGCTTTATGCTTTGGGTGCACTGAGACCAAATCAGGAGCTCCCAAGTTACAAATTCCTTGAAAACTCAACCCCCCAAGGAAACATACTCTGTTGTAAAATGTAGTAGTATTACACTATTTTATGATTTTTTTATAATTAAAAAAATTTAAATTGTATTTCTTAAAAATACAAATCATACATCAATTAATAAATCAAATATTTTGATACGTTAATCATTTCTTGATTTACAACAATCATATAGCTGAGCATTTAATAATGAACTCTCTCAATCACTTTCAAATTGCAGGCCCTCAATCCCCTTGAGCGCGGTTTCGTAGTCCTTGACATGAGAAGTATTTCTCCCAGACATTGTCCGCTTTGCGTCAGCAGATTCAACAGGACTTCGTTGTTGACTTGAAATTTTGTGCAACGCTCCAGGGCTAGCATCGGTTGTACGAGAACGCTGGGGGTTAGCCTCACTACCAGCAAATGCATCACGACTGCTAGAAACAGCAACTCGCCTTGAAGAGGATCCACCCCACTGCCCCATAAACATAGAATCTTTAGTAATTACAGGGTCATTTACAACTGGACTTTTCTGCTTAGCATAACTTCCAGAATTCATCAAGGGTCCTGATGTTCTCCACCGAGAGGAATCCATGGATGACAAACCAGCTGCTCGAGCATCCTCCCCAGCTTTGTCTGTCGGCATTAGCAATAACAGGGGGCATGGCAGAACTTGTTCCAGCACCTTATTCTGTTGTTAACGGGTAAGATATCTATTAATTTTTTTAAAATATCTTAATTTGGACACTATACTTCAATAGGATAACCGAACTTATAAAAATCCAATCAAAATTTTGAATTATTACTTGATTGAAAATATTTTTAAAAAAAAATAAAAAATTGAAAACTTTTTTAAAAATAATTTTTATCTGCTGAAAAAAATTAGAAGTTTTATATATTAAATTTCATATTTTGAAAATAATAAATCAAAAATTTTTAAAAATACTTTTATATTTTAAAATAAAAAATAAAAATATTTAAAATGCAAAAATTTAAGTTTTATTGTTTGAAAAATTAAAAAGATTGTTTTGGAAAAATAAAAAACGAAAACTAAAAAATAAATTTTTTTTAAAAAAATAAAGAATAGAATATATATATATATATATATATATATATATTCTTCCAATCACTGATCGGATTTGGCCAGGTGAGGTTAAATACGGTGTTGGTATGTCGAAATTGGCCAAAGAATATGTTCAAAATAGGCTAAATACGCTGCCTATTTTAATCGGATCCGACGAACCACAAGTTATTGGTTGGATGTTGCCATAAAGAGGGGAATTAGGTGAGAGTAGAAGAAGGAGAGAAGAGAGAAGGAAAAATAGACAAAAAGGAAACAGAAAACGTTTTTCTAAAAAATTGTTGTTGTTTTTTTTTTTTTAATGCTCTGAAACCAATCTTATTGTTCAATACTTAAATGTTTTTCTCCCTAATTTTTATCTTAAATTTCGAATTTTAACATTTATATATATCCTCACCATCTTATCTTCCATTTACAAATTAATATAGCATCTTATCGAATAGGTTTCTCTCTGAAAAAATAAAATCCCATAAAAAATTCTTAGTTGCAATATTCATTAATTAATGACTCACGACAACCGAGGGCGGTGGCTCAGTCTGGCGAGCTGCCACGCGGGATATAGTGGGAAAGGGTCGAAGTTTTATAATTTACGCCAACCCTCTAATCTACGAGGATGTGGAGAACAAAATAAATAAATAAAGTATACCTTTGCTCAAATTTCTTAAAGACAAGCTTCGAAGAAATTCTTCTGAAAAAAGCAGCAAATTTGCAAATTTCAATTGTATGGTCTTAAGCCACAAAGTTGCAAATTTCTTTTATAAAGTGTAGTTGGTCCACAATTTTTTTGTTCTAGATTCATTGACATTAGATTTTATATATCCTTAAAGGTTCGAAGTACAAACTCCTTTGACAATATACTATGATTACAATTGCCCAAAGTTTTTCTAATGTTTTAAACAATATTCTTTCCGGTTATATATTCATTTTAAAATCTACGATTGGACAAATTTTTGACTTCAAAACTCAATTCATTATTTCATTTATATTAGAATGTAATTTTTTTTTCAATTTTATTTGTTTAAGAAAAAATATGATAAAAATTAATAAATTATTATCAATAGAAATAAAGGAATATAATTGAGCAAAAAGAAATAAGGGAATCTATATTTGTTAAGAATTACCTTCATGTAATAACGGTTAGTTTTATTTTTTTATTTTTATTTTTATTTTTTTAGGGAAATTATAAGATTTTATTACCTAATCATTCATGGGAAAGAGACCTCAATTACATTGTTCAGTTGTAGTTTCTAGCCTTCTTAGGAGGATTGACATATGATAAAAAACTTTCAGAAATTGGAAAACCCTTGTTTGTCATAAAGTTAATGACTATATTTCCTTCCCTATAGACATGACAAACGAACTTTCCATTGTCTTTGAATTGAACCATGGATTGCTCGAATCAAATCTGAGTTTCAACATAGGTGACATAATGGAGATGACATTGCTTGAACCATTAACTTACTGTCAACCTAAAGCTCAATCTTTCGAAAACCAAGATCCCATGCATACTGAAGTCCACGATAAACTCTCCATAATTCAACTCCATAAGCAATACATTTACATAACCTCAATGCAAAACCCTTTCTTCAATGACTAGCTGAGTCTCTCAAAACATCACTAGCAGTTGTTTGTTCACTAGATTTTCTATAAGCACCATCAGAATTTAAAGATATCCAGTCGGTAGTCGGTATAATCCAACCAATTAAGAATTGCTCGAGTACTAGACAATAGTCTTTTGCTTACAATATTAGTTGGGAATTCAAAATGCACCTCCAAGATGATAACTCTGTTATATAGAGTTGTTTTTAACACATTTTGGGGACTTTAGTAGCTAGACCTTTGCATTTTAGATTTGAATTTGAGCATTTTAGTTGTTGCTCTAAGTTAAGTTAGATTACATGTTAAATAGTGAAATTAAGTTGTTTTAATTTAATTTTACTTTATTTTGG